AACCGTATGACCTCAGAGCAAGGGAGCTTCTGCATTTGACCTCGCTCAGCTTGGCTAGGGGGAATTAGTGAATCAACCATTGTGGCAGGAACTCAGAGTTCCAGGCCTCCCTAATTTCACTTTGTCATTCATTCCTGCAACAATTCCATTCCTTCTTAAACTTTTAATTTTTTTAATCTGTCTTACTTCTAGAGCAAACAAATTACACAAATTACATCCACATATTGTGCAAAGTGCTTCCTATAATTGGTCCTCAAACTACTTTTGAAACTTCCCAGAGATCAAAGACAGAGGACATATATATATTCAGAGGAGAGAGCGTTTAAAACCAAGATTCCCAAACTTGGCTGGTCATCAAAAGCACCTGGGAAGTTTAGTTTTTAAAAAACGACCTAATTTTGGTGGTACACCCACCCTGAGAGCCGGCTTCAGAACTTTTGGAATGGAATCAAAAATCTGTATATTTAAAAAGCTTCTCAGACAACTCTGAAGATCAGCCAAGATTGGGAGTCACTGATTTAAGGAACAACTGGAAGAGCTCCACGCCTACATTGTTTGAAATCCTTCCTTTCACTTAGTCACAGTGCCTGAAATTAGCATCCACTGCAGCAGATTTTACATTGTTAGTGAAAGAGAGTTCTGCATCAAAAGGAGCAAGGTTAAGAGTGTTTAAGACCCATTTATATCTTTACACTAGTTACACTACAAGCCTGGGAAGGAGGCTTGAAAAAGTATTTAGAACCAGCTCCTCTCTCTTCCCCAAACCATCACTAAAAATACAGAGCTGCTCTTGAACCATAAACAAACCTTCTCTGGAATCCCTGCAGGGACAGGAGGCCCTCAGCTCAATCAGGTGGCCCACTCAGATGGTTTATTTAGCAGACTTCCCTGGCTGGGCATCAAGAGCAACACTTAACAGTTGGCAAAGTTTAAGCCAACCAGGATGAGTAGGCTGACTGGTTAGCCATGGAGCAGAGCGTCTGACCTGCCGCAAAGGGAGCCTGATACAGGGAGAAAGTGAAGGGCTTTATGTTTCCCCAAAATAGATATTTTAGGGTGCTATCCTAACCCTGCAACATCAGACCGCGCATTCAAGAGCCTAAGAATCTTCTTTCTTGGATTTTTTTTTTAACATTCCCAAGGGAGGGCAGCTGCACCTGACCACTGGGAGCTGACCATTCCCACCTTCTCTGAGTTCTGACAAAGTGGCCATTTAAATAAAGGGAATTTGGTGGCACAAGTGTCTCAGGAAAGCAGAAAGGGGGGAACTTCAATAGCCAGAGGGGCCAGTGGAGTATCCGGAATGATGGAGAATGGGCATGGAGATAGAACCACTCCCGAGGCTCTGAGGAAGGATAGAGGCTCAGGTTGCCAGGGCCCAGCTCGGGCTGGACAAATCACTGTCTTTATCAATAAAGGAAGTCATGGGACTAGGAAGATACCTAGACCTTCCTTTAATGACAAGGGGAAGAGATAAAGGCAGTGTAATATAGCAGGATTTGAGAAAAAAATTTCGGGAAATTTCAGTCTCAACTCTGACCTAACTACTTATTCCAGATAAAACAAAAAGCAGCTTTATCATCTAAATGTTGCCATCACTGCAACAAGAGTTTGATCCCCAACCAGGGACATGACCCATATGGCGCAGCAGACATTGACTGTCACACCCAATGCTCCCCTCAGCAGTATATTTTAGTAGCTCTGCCTGTTCTGTTCTCCATTCTGTCTCTGGTGAATCCTCTTATCCCTCCAACCCCCACACCTCTAGCCAGTATGCCAATTCTTCCATATAAAAATAAATAACTTTTTAAAAATAAGACAATAGGCCCTCCCTGGTGGCGCAGCGGGTTAAAGCACAGCACTGAGAAGCTAAAGCCACTTC